GGGATAGAGCAGACAGATGAAGCGGTTACAGCAGGTTCGGTTAAGCCGTGGTATGTTTCCTCCTGACTTCTTTTTCCACTAGCATAACTGTTTAGTCTGTTTGTGCTTATAGCGAGAGCCAGACCGTGCCCCATGGCCCTTGCAGTCCAACACCAGTGGGTTTTTTTCCTTCCACTCCTTAGCAATGCCAAATATCTCCCAAGTACATATAAACCAGTGGATCATTGGGGTGACAGCAGCTGGGGGATCTAGCCCCCAGCAGACAGGATGCACAAACACATGGCTGGAAGGAAGTCCTAAAAGCTGGAGGTGATGTTATTTCCTTTGGGAGACTGCTCCACCTCTCCTGGCCATTGAATTAGATTGACAGAGGGGCTGAGCAGTTGGTTGGTGCAGTGACTGTAGGTGGAAATCAGGCCCAGGTGCTCCAAGACACTCAGGCTTCCTCCTGCTTGTGTTGAGGAAGCGGAGATATGAATATGCACATTTAAGTGAAACAGAGGTGCTTGGCATGGATTGAGGGGCAGGAAAGAGCTGGGTCACTGGAGCTCTCGCTCTCCAGCTACTCTGCACTTCATGCATCATTTGCAGCTTGTGTGCATATGCTTCTGCACCCAGAGGATGAGACCCCCACAGCTTGGTGTTTGGCTAAAGCTCTAGAGATCCATGATTCCAGTTTTGGAGGTGTCTGATTCATTCTCTGGTGTGGCCTTAAATGACAGCTCCAGGGGACATGAGGTGGCCTGTACCTGGAACTCAGGTAGCCTGTGCAGAGCGCTGCTCGGTGCATGTCCTGCGTCTTTCCTTAGTGCCCGGTCTATAAGCCTCACTTGAGGTGGGGTGTTGGAAGCTCCTAGCAGACAGATTCCAGATCCGTCTCCTCGTTCTGGCTGCAGTGAGGCCCGTCACACCCCGCAGGCATCAGGAGCTCTAAACCAGAGAACCCAGTCCCGGGCCTCTCTGGAGGGTGCGGCCCCAATCTGCCCGGCACCTCTGGCAGCTGTTCAGGTCCCCTGCAGCCATCTCCTTGTGTGCTGGGGCTGCAGGCACGTTTGTCCCCATTGGGGTGGGGAAGACAGAAACCACAAACGCCCAGCATGATGGTGAGGGGGAGGGAGGAGTGCGATGAGCCAGTCGCTCATGCTCGGGTATTTGAGATCTATTGTGTGTGCATCAGACTGGAGGAGACAGTACAGGGGAACCGCCTAGGGAGAGCATCCGACCCAGCTTGATAGTTTCCTGGAAGAATGTACCCCACCCTCCATGCAATATGGGACTGGGTTCTGGGTGGTGCTGCCCATGGTGTCCTTTTAATGAGAGTCTTCGAAAAAGCCACTGGTTGGAAAGGTCCAAGCAGGCCGTTTGGAGGGACTGAGCACCAAGGGAGAGGAGACTTCATGCCCCTCAAGGGTCCCCTGGGGTACAAGTATACCAGGGAGTGTGGAAGAGCAAGCATTTGTAATAGCAGAGGAAGGGGTTGCAGGTGGCTCTGGTTTCCAGCATCAGGATTAGCAGCCAGCCCCTGAGCTGAGGCATGTTTGCAAGCTTCATCTATTGCCTCTGATCCTGTGCATGTACAGCACCTGGCACAGAGATGTGGTGAGCTCCAGGGTGTTAGGAATAAGGAGACAACTCACTCTTCTGGGAGCTGGAAGGAATGAGAGGAGCTCTGAGCTGGATGAGGGAGGTGGGTAGCAGATCTAAGGAGCAGGGGCCATGCCATGTGATCCTGGGAACATCATGAGAGCCACAGCCCTGCCGATATCAAACAGCAGAAAAGCCAACATCTAGCTGCATCTCCTGACAGGCTGGGTGTCTGGGGGAGCTTTCATAACAACATCAGGCACTGATCAAACCCACAACACTGATTGCTGCATTGAGAAACAGGCCAAGCTTTGGTTCAGCTATGAGCTAATGCTACGCGACGGGATGTTTCCTTTGATTTCCTGCTTCCGTTTCCTCTCTGTTGCTCAGCTCAGCTGTAGGGTGCAAGCGATGTTCAATGACCTGTACAGAAAGGAATATGTTGGCTAAGCGTGTGTGCCCATGTGCATGTATGCTGCTGCCCTCTGCTGTGTGTATGTGGCTGTGCATGAACCATTGAATGCGTGGCGTGCAATCAGTGTGTCTGTGCTCAATGTAGATGTGCCATGATAGTGGATTGAAGGGAAAGAGGGTCTGAGTGTGTATGGGTACGAGTTGCTATTGCTGTGTACTACTGTACTGGCAGTGTGTGTGTGTGTGTGTGTGTGTATGTATTTGCACACTCATGCCTGCCAATATGTGTGTCTCTGGGCCGCTGCCCTCTGCTGGATTTCACAAACGCTGGTTTCAGTGCATGTGCACATAATTGTGTTTGTGTACTACAGCTGTGCAACAGATACAGTCCGTATCTATATCCGCATGTGTGAGCATGCATGTGCAGTCCAGTCCTCTGCAGTCTATTAAAGTAGATAGTCAGAACCGCTTGACTGTGTTGTGAGCCTTTTGGATATTTCCAAGGATGGAGACGCCACCACTTCTCCAGGTAGCCTGTTCTGGCTCTTGACCATCCTTATCCTCAGCAAGTTCCTCCTCATCTCCTGCTTAATTTTCTGTGTGGCAGCTTGAGGCTGTTGCACCTATTCTTGTCCCTTGTGGCCACAGAGAAAAGCCCATCTCCATCCTCTCTACAGTCACCCTTTGGGTATTTGAAGGCTATTATCCCACCCCTCTCATGGTGCTGGCCTGGCTTCCCTTTCAGATTATCAGCTGACCAGTGCTGAGTTGTCGTCACTGCCGGCGTTCAGCTCTCCGGGTGGATTATCGCTGGGCAATATCTCTGCCTGGCAGCAACAGCAGCAGCAACAGCCACAGCAGCAGCAGCAGCCACAGCAGCAACAGCCCCAACAGCAGCAGCAGCCACAGCCCCAACAGCAACAGCCGCCCCAGCAGCAGCAACAGCCGCAGCAGCAACACTTGGTTCCTGTATCGCTAAGTAACTTAATGTAAGTGAAGCGGGGGCCTGGGTCACTCCCGGGGTGGGGGGTTGATGGAGGTGTTGGCTGGAACAGGTCACCCTGCCAGGTACTGCAGCAGGTCAGGGAGCAAAGGGGTTAGGAGGAGCTAGGACGCCTGGGTACCAATTCTGACTTTCCCCTGGAAGCCAGTTCATATTCCTTCTCTTGAGTCTCACTGTCCTCCTCATTTAAAACAAGGAGACTATTATGGATGTATCCCCAGGATTCATAGGCTGATAGGAAAATCAGGCTGAAAGGGACTTCTTGAGGTCATATGTAGTCAAGGCAGGATCAGTCCTGACTCAACTGAGTTGCCTGGTAGTGCCTCTGGTAAGATACTGTGAGGTTTTCCTCTGGAAGTGCTTGAGAAGACCAGGAATCAGAACTCATGGTAGAGGTGATGTCTTTTATTAGACCAACTAGATTTTTGCAAAAAACATCTTTAATTGCAAGCTTTCAGGCATAAGCACCGCTTATCAGGAATAGGAGAAAAGATTGTAAAAGTTCTCCCAGGTAGAAATGAAAATTCATATTTCATAGGAGTTAAAGGTGTGGCAAAATGTCCTGTTTGGCAAGGCCAGCGTATTCTTATTGCCTTCATATTGGAGAGGGTTGATTTCTAATCCATGCTGCCTCTGGGCATCTCAAGTGCTTACCCTGAAATGTGAAGTCATTGGGGAAACCTTTTTTTTGTTGCATTTGCTGTGCTCTGGATACATGATGCTGAGGCCCAAAGTGGCTCTACGAAGACATGGTTGGGGAAAAGGACCTTTCTCATGTGAGGAAAAAATGGACTTTTCAGTGAAAAATTGCACTGTGGGAGTCCGGAGATGCTGGTACACTATGGGGGAGATCTGGCAAGGGGGTGCCTTGAAAATGGGGACATGAGGAAGTTAGCTAACAGCTGCTGTGAGGCATTGAGTGAGCATAGTTTTCCAGCTCCCCAAGAGGAGGCATTTCTTTTTTGCCTGACCTAAAAAGAAGCCAAGCAGCTAAAACCCCACTTTTAGCATGGGCAACCCTTGCAACAGAACATTTCTGACCAGCCCTGGATCCACGTGTCATTGCAAGAGGGAAGTAAAATGTTTGAGGCCCCGCTGGGGCTGATCCCACCCATGGGCAGAACTGGTGCAACTTGATGCATTGCCCCACCGTTGGGTAACACTAAAGTCCTGTTCCACGTCCCACTGCAGGCTGGAAATAGCACTATCAATTAAGATGGGTTTGTGTCCTTCCCCAAAGATTGAATAGCAGCCAGGCTCTTCAAACATTGTGGGCAGCCCATGTCCCCACGCAGAGCCAACTCAGACCAGCCCTGGCCTCCACTGACTTCTATATCTGAACCCTGTCATTATATCAGGGAACACCCCGGAGACAGTCACGGCTGTGGTGTCTGAGGTGCTGTGCAGACTTGTGGGGTGAGACGATCCCTGCCTCAAATATCTTGCAGTCTGAATACCCAAAGAAAGAGATTATTTATCCCAACTTTGCAGCTGGGGACCTAAGGCCCCAGAAACAGTCAGGACATGTCTAAATGGTGGGAAGACAGTGTTTCATGAGCGCTGTTTTGAATTCATTCTCTGTGTGGACCCTCTGGAAGGGGAGGGAATAAAGATCACAGAATCACTGGTGCACATCCAACGTGGGTGATTGTTCTGGAGGAAAATCCACCTCTAGTCTGGAATAGAGCGTTCACACTGGGAACTGTTTTCAGAAGCATTGATACGAGGTCACCTCAAAGCAACTTGGCTCTTTCATCCTTGCCTTGCCCAGTGCCTTAACTCTAGAGGTGGCTTTTCCTCTTAAAGATGCCCCCCATCCTACAGCCATCAAAAAGGCAAGCAACATTTCGAAGATGATTAAGGGAATTGTGAACAAAACTGAAAGTATCACAATGCCCCTTTATAAATCCATGGTGCATCCACACCTTGAATATGGCGCCCAAATCTGGTCCCCACATCTCAGAAAGGATATAAAAGAACTAGAGAAGATCCAAAGAAGGGCAAGAAGGATGTTCAGCAGTACATAGGGGCTTCCAGGTCAGGAGGGATAAAGGGGCTAGGTCTGTTCAGTTTAGAAAAGAGACGCTCAAGGGGGGGCAACAGGACCAAGGTTTACAAAATACTAAATGGTGAAAAGAAAGGAAATAGGGATCTATTATTTACTGCTTCTCACAATATAAGAACTATGAAAATGAAACTAGTAGGTAGTGAGTTCAACACAAGGAAGTTCTTTTTCACCCCGTGTGTAATTAATGTGTGGCACTCACCGTCACAGGATGCAGTGGAAGCTGACACTTCAACCAGATTCAAAAGGGGAGTGGACATATTCTTGGGGGAAACGGGGCATCAGTAGCTGTTGAGCATGGGAGTGAGGGGGACAGCCTCTGAATCGGACATTCATAGATTCATAGATTCATAGATTAAGGGTCGG